ACGGGTAGTATCAGCTCTTTCCCAAGTCCTCAAAGCCCCCCAGCAGAGGTCAAGTGGCAGCCTGGTGAGAACATCACATCAATGGAATGAGGACCAATGAACCAGTGAACCAGGGATGGCAGGGCTGGGTCGACCAGATGGACCCTCTGGGGAACTCTTGCCACACCCAAGGGGCACAGTGACCACAGGGCACGGGGACCACCCACAGCAGCCGTCTGCTGGCCTCCACCCTCGGGACAGTGTCTGGAACCCAGGACAGAGAGGGACACATCGGATCCTCCCCCACAGGGCAGTGCACCCTGGGGGCCCACCTTGGAAGCCCACTGTCCTCCACCCCATGTGGCTCCAGGGAGAGGCTCCTGGAGCCCTGGCACCCACTACCTCGCCCTCCTTGGCGGCCCTACCAGTCTCCAAGGACCCTATGATGAAATGGTGTCCCAGTCAATCCATATTAAACAGAAAAAAGAACCCATCTCCTTGTGGTATATATACATATACATACACACACACACACACACACACACACACACACACACACGGAATACTACTCAGCCATAAAAAAGAATAAAATAATGCCATTTGCAGCAACATGGATGGACCTAGAGATTATCAGACTAAGTGAAATAAGTCAGAGAAAAACCAATACTGTATGATATCACTCATATGTGGAATCTAAAATACAAGTCAAATGAACTTAGCTACCAAAAAAAAAAAAAAAAAGACTCACAAATATAGAGAAGAGACACGTGGTTGCCAAGGGGGAGGGAGGGACGGATGCATTGGGAGTTTGGGGTTAGGAGATGCAAACTATTATATATAGGATGGATAAGCAACAAGGAGAAAGGCAAATATTATATGATATCACTTGTTTGTGAAATCTAAAATATGACACAAATGAACTTATTTACAAAACAGGAAGAGACTCACAGACACAGAACACAAACTTACGGTTACCAAAGGGGAACGGTGGAGAGGGATAAATTAGGAGTTTGGGATCATGAGATACAAACTACTATATGTAAAGTAGATTAACAACAAGGACCTACTGTATAGCACAGGGAACAATACCCAATATTTTGTAATAACCTATAATGGAAAAAAACCTAAAAAAGAATATATATACACACAGATATAAATATGTACATATGTATAACTGAATCACTTTGCTGTATACCTGAAATGAACAAAACGCTGTAAAACAACTATACTTCAATTTAAAAAAAATCCTCTCTAGTCAAAAAGAAGTGAACACCCTCAGAACTAGACCTTCTTTCACTGAATTCCGCGGAGCAAGAGAGTTCTGATGTTCTGACTTAGAGATACTTCTTTTGGTGCACTGGTTATACAGCGACCAGCTTCTAGCTGCTAGATGACCTCGACGATCATTCAAGAACAGTCCTCCATCTACCCACAAGGAGCCAAAAGCCAGAGAATAAAATAATCATCCACCGAGTCATGATCACAAAGAATCGCTATCACAACTCTCTGACGGTTCGCCGTGAATCCCCCAGAATCAATCCATCGCAGCGATGGACGAATAAATCATTTCATTCCCACTTTCAGATCACGGAAACTTTTATAAAGACGTGCAGGTTGTAGGTTTCCATAACACGTTCACAGGGTTTAGTTCAATGCCTGGTGAGACTCACTTTAATCAATGCACATTTGTACCAAAAAATGGAACCGTGCATTTAGCAGAGAAGAAATGGAATAAGTGTGTGGTTCATGTTTTAATGCAGGATCCCAAGGCGCTGCTCAGGCCCAGGTCTATTCACCAACAGAATAAAATTCCTCTTCGACACAGGTGCGGTCTCCAGTTTATGACACTCTGCCGGCTAATCCTCGTGCACGAGAATAGAGTCCTTAGGGACGAGAGAGTGGCCACGTTGCGATAAAAACCATGCAAAGCATGGGGCCCTGGCGGCTTTAGAGTCTCGTAAACCCTGCTGCCCCCAACCCGCCCCCCGAGACTGAGCCCTGTGTCCCCAGCAACACGATGCCCGGTGCCGGTTTATGGGCGCGCGGTCCTATGGCATGTGTCTCTGGGCCTCTTGGTCTCCTAGGAGGTGAGACCGCTTTGCTCTTGGCGTCCTACCGAGAATGGTAGCATGTTGAATCCCAGAGAATGTTGGATCTCAGCCACGTGTGTCCTCATCCCTGAACTTCGATGGCCCCGCACGGTAGGAAACAGGGCTGACAGAGCCGACGAAAGGCATAATCGCCCCCCTACATCAAGCTTTATGGTCACAGAAAGACAACCGGCCCGGGGGAACACAGCCACAGGGGGTGCGGGGGGTAAGAGCCTGCAGTGAGAGCCTCGGAGGGAGCTCACAGGGACACGCACGGACACAAGAGACACAGACACATGGATGCAGGAATAAATACAGACACACAGATACATAACCAAAGACACACAAATGCAGGACAAAAAAAGATGCACACAGACGCAGGAATAAATACAGATGCACGCAGGCGTCCACACACAGACGCAGGAGTAAACGGGCACACACAGACATACAACTGCAGAGACACACACAGATGCGGAACAAAGATGCGCATACATGTAAACTTATACAGACACAGCTACACACACACACACACGGACACACGTGCACATATGCAGACACACATAAACCTGGATACACACATGCACACGCACACACAGCATCAGGGACCACACAGGCTTTCACAACAAAGTAGGAGGACCTCATCCCTCGAAGAGCATTTGCTTAGAAGCCTGGACTCTCCCTGCCGTCTGGGGTGACACGCAGGGGACAAAGCCACTCAGCATCCCCACCCCCGACAGCGACTTCGTCACACGGGAGGAAAACGTAGCCCTGAGTTTCCTGGTGTTCCAGGAACCACGCCTGCACCGTGCACACAGAAGGTCCACCGCCGTGTCCGCTGGAAGCAAAGCTTGCGAACTAATTAGACAATACGACACGGCTCCTCTGAGGCTGAGCAAATTCCAGGCAACGCCGAGGTAAGGAAGTAAAACGCTGACCGGCCACGCATCCCAAGACGCCCTCACGGCTTCCCTACTGTAGGAGAAACGGAGCTCCTCCCCAGAGAGGCGCATGAAAAAGGATGTAAGATGCCAAATGAGGTGCGTGAAGAATAGCACCTGGTCCTGACTTTCTCCTGGACGTCCAAGAATCTCCAGGACCTGAGTCCCAGGACACCCCCTACCCCCCACTTTTTCTCGATTCCTCCAATGCACAAGGCGTTGGCTTCACCAGGAACACGCCCAGAGCCTTCTGCGAACAACGTGCCTCTTTTTTCCAGGGTCCAAGTGTCCCCAACCCTGAATTATCAGCCCTTTGCATGTCACGGCCATGGTGGTTAAGGGGACCCGCATCCCGGCGAGGGTGCACGGGCTGCTTCTCAAAGGCAGACCCTTCCAGTCAAGGGGAGCTTCCTCAGTCCATCCCCGATGGATTTTACCCAAAACACGCCCAATCGCAGTGTTGGGTGCGAGGGGCTGGCCACTTGAAATGGGAGAGGGTCTCACCTGCACCGCAGAAAATGCGTAAATACTCTCTACTCCCTTACAGGGAAAACCAAGGCTTTAGGGACGAAAGTTTCCATGTGTTTTAACTCACTCCAAGCGTGGAAATCGTGGAAATTCACCCAAATAAAAGGTGTATCACATGTTGCTTGCTGGAGGGCGTTCTTGGTGGAATTGTGTCCCACGACCAAAGTGTTAATTTGACGTCCTAGCCTGGTACCTCAAAATGGGACCTTATTAGGAAACGGGGTCTTTGCAGATGAGATGAAGTGAAGGGTCAGAGATGAGGTCCTCCTGGAGGAGGGTGGCCCTACATCCAATGACAGGGTCCTTCTAAGACACAGGAGAGAGACAAACACAGAGGAGAAGCCCCGAGAAGACAGAGGCAGAGACGGGAGGGACGCGGCCACAAGCCCAGGGATGCCTGGAGCCCCCAGAAGCTGGAAGAGGCAGGAAGGACCCTCCCCTGGAGGCTCTGGAGGGAGCGCAGTCCTGGGACACCCTGACCTCAGACGTCTGGTCTCCAGGATGGGGGAGGATGGAGGTCTGTGGTTTTAACCCACCTGATTTGTGGTCATTTATGACAACGACCCCAGAAAACCAATTTACGGTGCAACGAAAGCAAAGCACCCAGGTTACAGCACTTACGTGAGAATCAACAAATGCAAAATTAAATTTCAGAGACACGCTTGTCTTGACAAACAGGCACATGGCTCACACCACGTATTTACAGATGCTATGACGGTCTGCCTTGCAAAACTCAATGGGTCCGCTCTTTGGTAGGGCAAAACGTTTAGCCCTAAAATATTTTAATCGCTTTTCTACGTCAAACATAAGTAATAAGAAAACATTTTGAAGGTCTTGAAGCAACAGAACACAGAGTATAAACCCCGAGACGTACGCCGTGGGAGACCATTTCCACAGGCCTCAAAGCATGTTCAGTACATCTGGGACCACCCTTCACCAGCTGCCCCTCGTCGGGCAGCAGAAGAGCTGAAAGACTTTGTCCTTTATTCTAACAACCTTGGAAAGCCACGGGGGTGGGCGATGCTGCAGGTACGGACATGATCTAATTGGTATTTTAGAGAATTCTCCGACTAGACAGAGAATGGCTTACAGGAAGGGCAAGAGAGGCCAGCCAGGAGGAGGTGTTTGCTCCAAAGGCGTAAATTTGAAAACTTCAAATCTTCAAAGAAAACTGTCTACTCACAGCACTTCCGACACCCAACGTGTGGCTCTTCCACACCGAGCAGGTGTCCAGTTCTCCTGGGACACCAGCTGGGTGCCGTTCACTTCAATTCAACTCTGATAGGAGCCCGGGGGCGCGCAGACCTCACGGGGTAGACTCGGTGCCCCAGGACGGCTCCCACGTCAACCCCAAGCGCAGGGACTGGGTCCCCAGGCCGCCCACACTTGTGTCCGACAAGGCTACACACGGAGGGTCCCCGTGACGCCCTCCTCAGAGAACGCAGGCAACACGTCGCTGACTCACCCGTTTATCAGAAAGGCACGAACAGCCAGAGAGAGCGGTGGAGGGCGAGGCCCGGGGGCGCCCCGAGCGCCGGAGCTCCTGTCTCCGTGGAGCTTGGGGGGCGTCACTCTGCCAACGTGCGGACCCGGAAGATCTCGGAACCCCTCCACGTAGAGAGTTTACGGGTCTGCCGCCAGGCACGACCGTCGGAAGCCGCGCGCACCTGGAGCCGCTCGAGCCCCGCCCCCTCTGCGCTCCATGGCGCCTGGGGGCGGGGCTGGACGGGCCCACCCTCGCGTCACGTGGTTGGTTCCTCCGGGCAACCGGCCCGCACCTCGCAGGGCTACGCCTCAGCGCAGACTCGGGCGCGGCGCGGCTCGTCCCGAGGGGCGCAGGATGCTCCTCTGGCCTGCGTCACTCAGGAAGCTCCTAGGGTGTCGGGAGCTCTGCGCCAGGAGCCAGGAGGTCACCGTGCATTCGGATGCGCCCTAAATCCAATAATAAGCGTCCTTATACGTAGAATATTGTATAGTATGGTTTATATATAATTTTGTATATGATTATAATTTTAATTATACATAAATTACAATATATGAGACACATATACAATTATATATAGATTGTACACATTATATACATTTATAAACTATATGATATATGTTATATATAAACAGATATAGTGTTACCTGTATGTTATAATCATATGGAATTATACTTATATCTATAATTATAGGTGATTAAAGATGACTATTATAATTTATAAAAGGTATATGATTATATGGCTATAAATAATATGGTATATTATATTTATATTTTAATATATATTAATTAATATTCATGCTATGTATTTAATTTTGTTCTTTATATAATATAAAATGTATTAAATGTATATTATACATTATACATATAATGTATAATATACATTATATTATATATTATAATTGTATTAATAAGATATTAATATATATTATTTCCATGTATATAATTATGTTACAATATATAGTAAATTTATATGTAATTTATATATATAAATTATAATTAATATACTATAAATTTATCATAATATATAATATGATTGCCATACAATATATACACTATAATACATATAATCATATACAGTACAATATATAAGGTAATAATATATATCATTGTATACAGTATAATATATATTATAGAGTGCAACCTATAACAGTATAATACAATGAATATTATATTTTATATACTTATATGTATATAATTTATATACAAATCATACATTACATTTATGTTTTCATGAATCTTATACAATATGTAGTTAACATATCATGCACAATGGAGACGCAAAAATGTTATTTGAGACCCCAATGCATAATTTTCTTTAACAGACTCTACGGGGTTTCAGCAAGACGGGGGATAGGATTCAAAAACTGGGGAAGAAAGGTGGCGTCTCCCCAGGCACCTTCCGGTCCCTCATGCGATGCCTGGGACGTGAGCGCGGCGGTGGTGAAGGCTGCGCGCTGGGTGCCCAGTCGCAAGGAGTGTGGACTCCGGGAGCCACAGCCCCTGGGCTCCATGCAACAGCTCCTCCGACTAAGGACGGCCCCTCTCTCCTCCCCCAGGCAGCCCCTGACCTGTGACCCCAGACCCCTGCCCATTCCCTGACCCCCATCTCCCCTCCTTCCTCCTACCGACTCCATTCCTCCCAAAGCCCCACCTGCCCTTCCCTACTCATCCTAGAACCAGCTCTGCCCAGGACAGCAACCCCACCACTCACTGCACTCCTGCCGGACGGGCCCTGCGTCCTGACTCCCACCCCATCCACACACACCCCTGTCTTCTTTCCCAGGCCCCTTCCCCAGCTGTATCCGTGGGGCTCTCCAGAGAAGCAGAACCAATGGGATGTGTGGATGGAAAGAAGATAGGTAGATAACAGATGGATAGATGATAGATAGATTCATAGATAAATAGATGATAGAGATAGATGGAGATGATAGATAGATAGATGATAGATGCATATAGATATAGATACATATAGATAGATAGCCATGATATATCCTCCCTCCACTTTTGTTCTATTCAGACCTTCAACTGATTAGATGAGGCCCACCCACCCTGGGGAAGGCCACCTGCTTCACTCAGTCCACTGATTCACATGCTCATCTCATCCAGAGACACCCTCCCAGACACGCCCAGAATCACATCTGACCAGCTGTCTGGGGCCCTGGGATCTATAAAGTTAAGCTGACACAGAATTAACCATCACGGCTGGGGAGCAGCATCAATACCCATGCGGAGGGGGAGAAACAGGGTGGACCCCCCACGTCTCTCTGCAAAGCCAGCCAGGAGAGGCCTCGCGGCTCTGGGGCTCTTCTTGGGAGCATCAGCCTGCAAGGAGAGGTCAGGGCGCTCACGCCCTCCTGTCTCGACAGAATCTGCGAGCCCCCCATACAGACATCGTCCCAAGCTGGCAGGAAGCTGAGGAAACCTCTGTCGTTCCTCTCTCCGTGTGGCCTGTTCCAAACGCCTGACGGTATAAATCCCCATCAGAAGGAAAGAAGCCGTTTCATCTGGGCGCTTGGATGCGAACCCGTCTTCCTCGCGGGGGCTCACCCCGACTATATCAACGGGCAGAATTCAACAGAAATCATTCTCCTTGCCCTCGGAGAGATGCAGCCGAGGGAAACAAAGACCTTCAGGGTCAGCTCCTGGGGTCCCTTCCTATTTACTGCACTCCGCAGAAATCCTTAGAATCCTTAGAATTCCTATAAACAAGGGGTCGCATTTGCAGGTGAATTGGGACGACCTTGGCTGCCTGGTGTTCACACGGGAACGGAGGATGCTCTTCCCGCTCAGTAAAGCACATCTGATGCAAACAGTCCTCTTCCTTCCGCTTTGCTCGTCCTCGGATGTTTCTGAAATCCAACCCAGGTTTGTAGGCAAGATTGAGGTGAAGACGGCAGTTACCCCCGGTGACCCCAAACCGGGTAATCCAGGAAGATGTCATCCTGAGATCCTTCAATTCATCCCATGTGCAGAGACCCTGTTTCCAAACACGGTCACAGTCACAGGTTCTGGAGATAAGGATGTGAGCACATTTGGGGGGGACCCCCACTGAACCCAGGCCACGCTAGTATTGCCATATTGTAACCACATAATCAATCCATGAATGGGGGTTGTCCACAGCAACCCAAACGGCCAGCACACAAGATGGACAACCCTCCCTGCAAAGACCCAGAATGGAAATTAATCTCAGAAACACAGCTGCCCCTGAACGGATACCTTCCTGGAAGTGACAAGCTCGTGACTGCACGAAACCGCCGTATAAGCAGGTACGGCGAGACACTCATTTTCTGCTTATTTTTATAAATTCCCGAACCTAGGTCGGAGGTAATAGATTTCCTTTTCCAAAGAATATGCCTCAGCATCTCCGTATATAAATAACCTGCTTATTCAGGGGTAAATCTAGCAGCGTGGATGGGATCGTTCAAACAGAAACAGCGAAGGAGAAGAAAATGAAATGTGCAGACTCCAAAGGTTACAAATTGTGGGCAAAAAACCTGAAAGAGCGCATGTGCAGTCACAAAAGAAACAGTCTGCTCTGGAAATAAGCACGTGGGAGAAAAAGAAGCACTCGCCTGCGCTGCGGCGGGGTGGGGGGGGGATCATGAACCAACACAGGTGGAAGCAGGGGATGTCCCCCACTCCATCATCACCTGCCTCACCTGGGGAAGGTTGTCTGGACCAACCAGTCTCCTCTGTAAACCAGGGATTGGATATGGGTTTGGACGCTGCATCAAGGTTCCCAAGACCCCCCAGGATTGACAACTGTCTGGAAGGACTCAGGCTCATTACAAGGTGGAACTCATGGTGGTGGTTTAGTCCCGTGAACGGATACAGAGCAAAATTAGCAAAGGGAAAGCTGTGTGGGGTGGATCCTGGGGGGAACCAGGTGCAAGCTTCCAGGGGCCTGTCCCTGTGGAGTCGCACAGGATGCACTGAAGTCCTCAAGCAACGAGCTGTGACCACATGTGTGAAATGTGGTCGCCAGGGAATTTTAACTGAATACAGTAGCGCTCAAACACTGTGACTGTGCCCCCAGGGGACACTTGGCAATGTCTGCGGACAGTTTTGGTTTTCACCACTGGGGAGGGGATGCTCCTGGCACGTGGCGGGTGGAGACCAGGGAAGCTGCTGCACAGCCCACAGGGCTCGGGACGCCCCGCATCAGAGCGTCACCCAGCCCCGATGTCAGTAGTGCTGAGGCTGAGAAACCGTGACCTAACATGAGAGACTATCTATCTATCATCTATCAATCATCTATCCATCCATCCATCACTTCTATCTATCATCTATCTATCATCTCATGTATCTATCTATCCACCCACCCATCCATCCTGTCTTATCTACCCATATATCCTCTCTCTATATATAATCTATCTATACATCCATCCATGTCTATGTATCTATATATCTATCCATCCATCCATAACCTCTCTCCGCACCCATTTATCCATCTATCTATTCATCCATCCATCCATCCGTACCTATCTATCTACCTACCTACCTACCTATCTCAGTGGTTCATAACTGGGGATGACTTGGCCACCCAGAAGGACACTTGACAATGTCTGGGGACATTTTTGGTTGTTACAACTTTGGGGAGGATCCTACTGGCTGCTGGCGGGTGGAGACCAGGGAATCTGCTCCACAGCCCACAGGACACAGGACGCCCCACAGCAGAGGGTCATCCAGCCCCAGATGTCAGCAGTGCTGAGGCTGAGACACCCTGTCTAGCATGAGAGACTATCTATCTATCTATCTATCCATCCATCCATCCATTTATCTGTCTATGGCTGTGGTTCTAAACCAGAGATGACTTTGCCCCCAGGAGGACATATGACAATGTCTGCGGACGTTTTTGGTGTCACACTGGGGGGAGGGGGTGCTCCTGGCACCTGATGGGTGGAGACCAGGGAAGCTGCTGCACAGCCCACGGGGCCCGGGAAGCCCCGCCTCAGAGAGTCACCCAGCCCCACATGTCAGCCGTTAAAACTGCTCTAAGGAAGTCCTACCACCATGAGTTTTCAAAACATTCTTTTCTCTCAGTCTTTCCCAGACTTGGTACCAACGACATCTGGCACCTGAAAGGCCGCACATGCCCGGCTTGTCAGGAAAAGACTTTTAACGGGAAAACGCAGAGGTGGGTGGGAATGTGAAATTGGAAGAGGATGGCTGACTTCAGGAGGAAGACGGACGGTTTACAACTCGGACACGGAAAGGCCAGGAGAAGAGCGAGGAACAGAACGGAAGGCTCAGGGGAGCA